TGAAAAACTATTTCAGCTTGATTATTATTCAATTCTCACCTACAATGTAATATTCACATAATGAAGCTATCTAACTCTGTAATCGTTCTGAGAATCAACAATTTATCATTACTGAAGACCTTTTTGTGGGTAGTCATTTATGTATCAGTATCACTACTCTCTGATTGAGAGAATGTGAAAAATTCACTGGGCATAACTTGTGAGTTTCTTTTCAATTTCATCAATACTTGAGAGGATATTTGAGAGCTGAGATTCATCCATTTCAAACTGGAAAACATCCGTTTCCTGAAAAATATGTATAAATGTTTATCAATACTATTGTGGCAAGGGGAAAGATTTATTTAATCTTGTCGCAATCATGCAGCAAAGCAAGAAAAGTTTGAGTCTCACAGAGGAATAGAAACTCAGATTCCACACTCTAATGCTCAGTCTTTGAGCCACACAGATCGACCTAATGGTAAGCAAGGCCATTACAAGGTTCACATGTGACATGCAACCTGCACACTGCTAGGACCAGCGATATCAAAAATGTTGTGTACAATTAGGATAAGAAACTAAGATGATGGTTAATTTTGAGCTTGCTGTTAATGTAAAGTAAAACTGTAACCCTTAGACTTCAAAAAGTGACAAACTACTTCGAATTATTTAATTTATTCCTAGTTCCCTTTGTGCTCGTTCTGAACACTTCTAAAGTTGGAAATTGTTGCTTAGAAAAGGAATGTGCGTCTTAGCTACCCCCCCCCCCCCCCCCCCCTCCCCCAGGACGGTGATGCCTGCAGTGTTCCAGCCGAAGGCTATGTGTTCTACAATTGGGAGATATGAAAGGATAGAAACGATTAAAAAATTTAAAAAATTAAAATACTAATACTCTACCTTATTCTCAGTTGATCGTTTCTCAACCTGCATCTCCACGATAGCTACAGGTGTGTTGATCTGTTGAAGATGTCTCCCCTGGCTCTTCAGATCAATCCTCCAGCTGATGTCCTTCAATCTGTTATTCCACGACGATCTCTGGACCAAGACGTCGTGGATTTTTACCTTTTGCGATTTCCAGAACTTTAAAAACGCTGCAGCTTGTTCCTGGGTCAGTGAGCCTTGTTTTCGTCTCGTCTGAGATGTCAGAAAGGCTTCGAGTTGATTGAAATCCATATCCGCAGATACAATATTTCGCATTAAATTCTCGTATCTCGACAGCATTGCATCAAATTGCTCTCTTCCTAGGTCGGGAAAAAGTTCTTGGTGTAGGAAGTCGTCAGTGATTTCCGATTCTCCGAAATATTCCCTTCGTGCCAATCCATTTAGTAACCCCACTACATTTTTGTCAGCTGAAGCCATCTTTGATTTAGAACGCGCGTCACTTGGTTGAGCATACATGACAATAAATCAAAATTACCTGGCCAGCGGTACCATACATTATGTAATCTTTCCTTCCGTCAGCTTGGTACAATGTTTTCAGCTGTGAGGAAATCTTTGAACTGTAAACAGTTTTTGAAACTTAGAGTGTGTTCTTTATGTACAGCTGCTAGTAAAGATACACATGATTTCTATGATGTTACCATCATTGGTGGTGGAATGGTCGGCTCGAGTTTGGCCTGTGCTCTAGGTGAGAAAGTGGACTTCTTCTTGTCGGGATGTCATGCAGTGATTTAGCCACTGCATGCAAACAGTCTTTGGGTAGTTCTGTAAATCATATGTGTGTTTTTTTTTTCTCCTCAAGGACTAGATAAATCTTTGGATGATCACAAGATTCTCTTATTAGAAGCAGCTCCTGACAGACCTCAAAAGATCACCTCAGTATACAGCAACCGCGTTAGCAACATCACACCTGGTTCCAAAAGGCTTCTGGAAAGTAAGTGCTATTTGATGATAATTTTATAGCCAAGGTTATAAACTTAACCCTTTGCACTTGAACACTGAAAGTTAACATCAGTATGCATATTCTACATGCTGTTCTCTATACATTTACTGAGGTGCTGACTCGTACTCATAATTTCTTTAATATTTACCTTAGTAAACAAGACAGCTAATGAGCTTAAAATCCCAATACCATGGTCTACCAACAAGTATTTTGAATTCATGCATGATTAGATTTCTTGTAAATACAAAGATCTGTTTAAGTTGTGTATGATTATTTTTGTTGTAAGGTATTGGTGCTTGGGATCATATTTGTGAAATGAGACAAAAGCCTTTTAGAAGGATGCAGGTAAGCATTAAAATTATACTTACCGCTATATATATTTTCATCTTATATAAGGGTTGCTTTGCTTCACTCTGTTTCTCACATCAAATGGGTCACGTGCCTTTTTCATAACCACTAAGCCTTGCAATCCTGGGAGTGACTGAGGAGGAATTTCTTGCCACAATACTAATGCATTTTCAAACAGAAAGATAACAAGAAGAAAAGAAAATAATCAGCTTGGGGGTATTGTGGATATAAATCATAATTCTTGATTCTAAGAACATGGGAAATGTTCAACAGACAATGCAGAGAATCAGAGAGTAAAGTCTCAGGAGGTAATTTATTCATGGTTATGACATTCTTTTGTTTTTTTGGTTTTTTTTTTGTTAAGGTTTGGGATGCTTGCAGTGATGCACACATCACATTTGAATCAAGTTCAAAGGATTTGGATGGTTCAAAAGACATGGGATTCATTGTAGAAAATCCTGTCACCCTTGAGGCCCTGAGAAAACAGCTAAAAATGCTTCACTCACGAGTGAAGGTTCTGCATGGAACAAAGCTCAAGAAATTAAGTTTGCCTGATTTAACAAAAGATTTGGTATGGATGGATATTTATATGAAGTTAATATTTTATCTTTTTTTAATACAAATTTTGCATAATGAAGAAACAAGTTTGTGTGAAGTGTTATTATCTCTTCAGAAAGATTACTTGCTACCCATAATCCTTCAACAAAGAAGTAAATACGAGTCAACTGTCAGCTGAAGTTTAAAATCATTAGGAATTTAAATTCATTTTCAACTTTTCCATGCTATGGTTGTAATTTTTTTAAGTAAATATTAAATTAAACCATTTTAACAGTATTGGTGGACTTGAACATAGATTGATTTTATATTCAGGAGAGTTTTGATGTGATTCCAATTTCATATCTGTCACACAAGCATTTTAATTTATTTGAAATAATGAATCCATGGACCAATGCATGATTATTGTCAGAGCTTTACACAAAAATATTAGCTTGATATCTTTGTTAAAAACCATGTGACTTTGAAGGATAACAAGGATGTTAGTCATACATGGGCTTCCTTGGAGCTGGAAGATGGAAGGACAGTTCACTCAAGACTAGTGGTATGTGGTAAATATAGAGAAAATTTGTGGTTTCTTTTCCCACTTTACCACAGCAACAAGTGCCCTAGAACATATACCAAGTCATTCCATGAAGTAACTCTTATTTTAGAATTCAAATCCAAGTCCTTGTTTTTAGAAACCTATTAATTTCCAAGTCCATTCTAAAACTGGCATTTAGAATCAGGTTAAAATAGTGGTTTTAGTCCTAAATTTAAAACACTTAAAATTTTGTTGCACATTCTCTGCATGCCAAACTTAAAACATGGAATCATGTAGGCTGAGACAATACAAAGCCAAATGTTGATGGCCTCTAGTGACTGGACACCCAATGAACACAGCTTTGGGTTTGGACTATGTATTGTTTATAAAATAAGTGATCCATTTCATTCCTTTGTAAGATAGGAGCTGATGGTCCACAGTCCCTGGTGCGGCAACAAGCATCAATGGATTGCCTCTCCTGGAAATATGATCAGACAGGAGTTGTAGCAACTCTTCAGTTGGGAGAGGTAGTATTACGACTTTGCAGTAATCTTCTGTAAAGATGATGCAGCTTTTACTTTAAAAAAAAAACTTTCTTGCTCTTTGTTAGAAATACTGACTGATGCTAGTGAAGGCTACCTGAGTGAGGTTTTCTTCAAGAGAAGAACTTCAAGTAACAGTCAGATTTTTTTAAATTTAAAAACGTGTTTCTCTGCTGTAGATTACAGATAACCTTGTTGCATGGCAAAAGTTTTTGCCCACAGGACCAATAGCTCTTCTACCAGTGAGTATAATTCTATGGGATGATGTTAAATGCTTGATCTTTCAGATCCCAGTGCATTCACAAAATCACTGTAAATTTATTGCAGTCTTTTATCAATTGCCATGGGTAAAATTAATTTACCATCAATGAAATTTAATCTTAAGTTGGATGGTCTCTATCTCCTGCTTCCCAAATTAGAGGGATCTTTTGGCTTTCCAAAGATCCCATTATGAATCTTTAACAGAGACTTAGATTCATGTAGAGTAGAGACCCACATGAAAACTATTTGATGTTTAAAGAATATACCAGGAAAAAGGAATGAAAAGATGATACCATTAGTTTATTATCAATCTACATGATTTTCCAATTTTTTTTCACAATTATTTAAAATTAATTTATGGTCTTTGTTTAGCTCACAGACAATTTAAGCTCATTAGTGTGGTCAACAACTCTGGAACATGCTAAACAGCTGGTCTCATTAGAAGAAGATAGATTTGTTGATGCTATAAACAATGCATTTGTAAGTTTCAAATATGAAATATATATGTCTATCATCTTAGCTTATTTTTTTTCTTTTTCTGAGCATTTTACCCCAAATAGTGACTAGCATTGTATGTCTCCATCACCCCGGAATCACACATCATGCAGGGTCGCAAGAATAAATTCACTAGAATTTAATATTGATTGTTGAACAAATTCTCCTCGTCAGCATCTGAGGGAATGTATAGAGAACAGTGTGGAGAATATGCATACTGATTTTAGGGTGTAAAGGGTTAACATGGTATTATTCCATAATGGAAAGAAGCGTCAGAATTCATAAATCTATTTTGTAGATCATTTGTCAAAATTTGATTTAAAGATTGTTGTAATTAAGAACTGAAATGTCCAAGTTGTACAATCTAAAAAATTTATGTTTTCTTGAGATTTTCTTTATTATAATTATCACACATGTGATACAGATTGAGACCAACCATTAGCCTGGCCTCCTGGCTGCAGTATATGAAAACCTTCATGTTTCCTCTTTTGTAAGCTTAGAGCTTTTACATAATTTTTTTCTTAACTTTTGTCAGTGGGAAGACTTGGACCGCAATCCTTTGGTGGATCAAGCCACAAGGATATCATATATGTTAGCTTCTTTCGTTCAGCCATGGACAAGTAAGGTCTTTCCTCCCAAGTATTCAATTCTCCTTTCCATTTCTCCTCCTGTCTACCTCATTTTAAATTTTCTGGCTATGTAAACTGATTTATTGATCAGAAATTATTTTTAGTCCTTGGCTTGGCTAGCTTTTATTTTCACTAAGGAAGAGAAGTGTTTAATATTCTTTGTATTTTATATCTCTTTTTGCAACTGAGTCATTTATGAATCAACAACATGGCGGTTTTTAAAATATGTATAGAAAACCCTGGGCCAAATTTATATGTTGGGGCTGCAATGCTTGAATCATTCCTAATTTTGTCACTCCTTCTAATTCTTTGTATCAAAAACTCTTACGCTGCCAATTTGTTTCAGAGGTGGGGTCTGGTACCCAGTCTCCCCCTAGTGTGAGTGGTGTTGAGGAAGGTAGTCGAGCAATGTTTCCATATGGCTTTGGGCATGCCATGGAATATGTCAGACCAAGACTGGCTTTGATAGGGTGAGTTAGTCTTTTTGTTATAATGGTGACACTAGTTAAAGATGTCCTGAGACAATTTGCACATAACATAGAGACCCAAGAAGGATAAAACTGCATAGCGCTTCCCCTTGTGTGTTTTAACTACAAAGTTAACATTTATGTTGAGTTCTCCATATTTCTCTTATAGTGATGCTGCTCATAGAGTCCATCCTCTAGCTGGACAAGGTGTCAACATGGGGTTTGGAGATGTTGCTTGTCTAAGAGATGTGCTGTCTGAGGCTGCACAGGAAGGAAAAGATCTTGGTAATTAAGAATCAATCTTTCTCAAGATTTATAATTAGTATAAGTCAACATGTAACTCTAAGTACCTAGTGCATAACTTGGTTCTTGTCACATGAAGTGATCAGGATTGTTACTCCATTTTCTGAGGCTTGTCCTGGCAGTTTTTTGGTACCAAGTTAAACTTAGGGCAAAGGGAGACCTCACTGTGAGAGCTTAACCTCTTTAAATCCCATGAGTGAGCAAGATAGAATTTGTCCTAACAACATTGATACAATATCAAGCAGACAAGTGATGAGAACAAAGAGAAACAACTGGGAATTATTAGTTTATCCAATAACAAATTCTCCAAACTAAAATCATAAGAATTGTGTGACATAAAGTAAGGAGAATTACTTATAAGATGTTGGGAGTGAAAGGGTTAACAACACCATCACAGTGACCTGGCTTTTATGCCAAACGTCAGGCCATCTTGACCCCCACAACTTTCCCAAGCAGGAAGAGACATATAGCTATGCTGTCTTAAGTATTTTTGTAAGTCTTACTACTTTAATTTATAAATCAGTCAGTCATGATAAAAAAAAAACACAAACAAGATAACCATCAAAGAAAGTAGAAAATCTCTTGGCTTATTACTCAGAATTGTATGTCATGATTCTATCGTCTTAGACCACTTTTTCCATTTCTAGGATCTTTGGAGCATCTTTTAACATATGAAACAAAACGGCAGCAGAGTGTAGTCCCTATGATCACAGCTATTGATGCTCTCAAGAGACTTTACTCAACATCAAGTCCTCTCCCAGTTCTTGCACGATCAGTGGGGCTCATAGCAACTAGTGCTATGCTCCCTATCAAGGTAAATAAACAGTTTTAGTCAATGAAATTTAATAGTTAATTTGATTAACAAAGCTTACCATTGGTAAAAGAAATTAAGCCAGCATTGATAGAAGTATTGCTACTAAAAGGGTTTTGCGTGGGTCCTGAAAAACCTGGAAAGTCCTGGAATTTTATCTTGACACTTTTCAGGACTATCCAGTCTTGGAAAAAGACTTCAGGTCTTGGAAAATCCTGGAAATCTGCTTACCTCAAGCAATAAAATTTTCAGAATTTCCATGATAAGAAATGTTTGAACTGATTTTGAAATCTTGGAAATGAAAAGGTTAATGTGAAATTTGGGGTCCTGGAAAAAGTCAATCTGAGCCATAGAAAAGTCCTGGAAAAGTTCTTGAAATTTGTCTCTAAAAGAAGGAAAGGTACCCTGTAGTAATCTCTTTATCAGACAGAAGCACTAAAGAGGAATGGAGAAGAAAGACAAGTGTCTAAAACTGCCTAACTTTGATATCCCCTTTTCTTCAAATTTTTTGGAATCCCAGAATATATAATTGATTTGTTAAATAATTCTCTCTGTTATATTTTTGTTTGTAGGAACAGATTATTGACTTTGCCATGAGATAGTGCTACACTGATCTTAAAATTATGGTCACAAAGGAAGAAGCAATGCACCTTTACAAGAACATAGGTAGCAACGTGATGTTCAAACATTGCAGCACACAGAGTTGTTTGATGATGTTTTAAACTGTTGTTAAACAAATTTATGAATAAAAGTTTTTCTTGAGCAAGATTAACTACTCGAACAGTACCTCTCTTCATGGGAACCTGTGATTTGCTAGGGGAAGGCTTATAAAAATTTTGGGAGAGGTGGGGGAAGGGCTATAAACTGGTATCTGATCTGTGAGTATTATGTCACCTGGGGTTGCTGGGAGGTTTTCTTTCAGTTTTTGCTGTCAGTTCTGCATCTGAATTTATATTTAATTTACCCCAACCTATCTAATATTCAAAACCATGATCTTCCAAAAATTAAAAAAAAAGGAACAGAATAGTATCACATGACTACTGTTTATGCATTTTTGACCTCTTCCCAGAATAAAAAAATAATTCCTTATCCTTATGTATCCATTACAAACATAAGAAACATGTGCCAGGGAATCTTTTTTAGTGAAGTTTTTATTATACTTTACTCTTGTTTCTCTATCTATTGACAGAGATGAACCACATTTTGATTGAGCTTACACAATTGCTCAATGTTACTAAAACTCAACTTGACATTAGTTTCTTGTCAAACACAAAGTGTGTCTTGAAAAATCTAAGAATTCAGTGCGCCCACTATATTTATTAAAAGAGTTAAATTGTTATTTAGTAAAACCCCCTATTAATTTGTACCTACTTCTGATTCAGTTTGTAAAGCTTGTATAAAACGTCCCTGGCCATAACTGACCAACACATAGTTTCTCAACACCCTTTATAATTTATTACATCCTTTGGCAAAATGATAAGAGTAAATAAACTCTTCAGTCTGAGATAGTTATCTTCAAAACACTAAGTTTGCTCAACTAGTTTTGCAAGAAAAAGTGTCTACGTATAACGAGAATGGGAATCATGCAGATTTAGGGGTTAAACCTAGAACCTACTCAATCATGACAGATCCTTATTCTCCTTGAGTGCAGTGATAACACCAAAGAGAAAAAGGCTAAGAACTAGGCTTGATTATCTCTAAAATCTTCCCAAAAATTCATTGTTCTTTACATTATCAGAGAAAGAAATAAAGATTTGATATTAATAGCAGTGCACAGCACAGTCTAGTAAAATAGAAGCAACTCTTATTATTTACATAGCTTTTGATCAGAAACAATTCTGACAAGTTAACAGATACTAAGTACATGTTTGGATGTAATACAATATGAAACTCACAAAGCTTGAAACACATTTTTATATGGAATGTAACAAAACATTAATTGGAAAATCCTTACCTTACCTTACCCAAAAGAGTATTTTTATAATGCAAAACAAAGGCAAATAGTTAAAAAATTATTTTGGGGCACAACTTTTGAGAACAATGTTGAGTGAGGCCATTTTTAAACTAGACAATGAAAATAACAGCTGTCACTGACATCAATCCCGAACCATTAGTAATACCCAAAATATATTTTTTCCGGTATTTTGCTTCCTGCATAAGAATAGTTTTTGGAAGAAGAAAAAATGAAAATATGTCCAAAAACTTAAAAAAATCGTTACAACTATACACAGAAATCAGCTACAGCTCAACTTTGACACCTCTACAATTCTCTTGCACCTTGAATTCCCTTTCTACAACTAATATGGATGATATTGTGTTTAGAACTGTGGGAGAGTATGTATTTCAATCATTCATCTGGGAAATTATCAAGTTTGTTCTTCGAGAAAACCTTCCACAATTTCACCTAAAAAATAAATTTAACACTTCAAAATTATTTTGAATGGCCAACTGCACCTAACCATAATCTTATCAATGAGCTCATGACATTTACTTAAAGGTTACTTTTTTGAGGCCAAGAAATGGAAAAGTTTGTGTTGCAGAAAAATTGAAGACATTGCACTTAACATTGTTGCCATCTGTTTTTTGGTCCCTTTTCTGCAGCTGATGTTATGCCTACATGATGATCATTATAATGATTTACTAAATAATGAGACAGCTCTGATATATTTATGTTGCTTAGTAACATGTTCATACACTTAAGCGAAGTGAATTTTACCCACTCTGTGATTGGTCTTTGCTGAAATGATCTGTCAAGGTATAGACACATGGCTACATAGGAAATGTGTTTACCTAGTTGCTCAACATGGTTCTTGGTATAAATAAAGTTTATAGGATTACTCTGAAGTTAAAGGATGTGACATTGAAAAATAATTTAGCAGAACTTGATTACCATCAAGATGAAATAAACCAAAACAGAAGTTATTGGTGACCTTGAAAAATATATGCAGTGGAATCTCTGGGCAGTTGAGCTCCTGGGCAAGTTTTGAAATTTTCTCTGCTTTCTTTTTCTTTTGATAAAAAAAGATTCCAGCTTTACCATGTGCCAGTCATTGATTACAGAACACACCAACAATTGGTAAGACCATCAGTTTTTGATACCATAGAGAGCTGGTAAACAGTCCACAAAATCTGAAGCCTATAATTGCTAATGACAAATGTCATCAATGTTTTCAACCAAACACTTAGCCATGCTGCTTACCAGCCCTTAGTTACATTGGTTTATATATTTATATTTTTGGCTCTTTGTTAATGCAATTCTTTGGGAGTATAACTACAAATTCAATAAAAGGAAATTCCAAGATTCTTATCTTTTATCTCACAGTAGCACAGAATGAAAATTTTGTTTACAAGGTTAAGGATCAATTATACCTTTACTCCTTGAATGATGTCTTCAGATCAATGCCAGTATCTGAAAAACTGCATGTCTATGCCTTCCCCAGTCCAAAATTAACCCTAACCTGTTATCACTTGTCTGTTATCAGGTTAAGGTAGGGTTAGGGGTGTTTTTGCTCAGATACTGACATTGATCCACGACTTCAATAGTAATCAGAGAGAACTGCTACTGTGAGATGGTCACACTCCAACATAAGCAAAAATGTGAGGAACAAAGAACACTGCAGTGAAGCCAACCGTTATATATGTGAGGAAACGATGGGGGATTTCTGAAACAGATTTCATCTTCTTTGGATCAGTCTCTGCAAGAAGCCATGGCACAACTGCATGTACTGTTGACTTCATCACTGCACGCGTTGGAATAATCACTCCAACACCAAACAAAAACTTGCCAATCATCCAAAACATCTCCTCATAACCAGGAATTCGGATTGGGTATGGTGCCCCTTGGTAAGGGTCCGGCACCCCTTGAAAGTAAAACCTTCCCCAAGTACCAAGCAGTGCTCCACAGGCTCCAAATATAATGGTAGCTGTATCTGCCTTTGTCTGAGTGTATTTTGGTGGTGATGGGTACATGAGGATCATGATCATTGGAACCACGATGAGAAAAATTGGTGTGTTTGGAGAACTGAACACCCACTTGTCAATAGACACATCCAGAAGTGGAATCACAGTGACAAGTAAAACAACAGCAAATGCAATGCCAACAAGAAGATCCTGCAAAATACCAAAATGCAAATCAAATCCATTGCTCTTTCTCCCTACCCCTGCCATGTTTTAACACTCAAACATCAATATGCACATTCTCCAAATTGTTTTTCATACATTTCCTAAAGTGCTAACAAGGAGAATTTGTTAGACAATCAAGAGTTTGTTTAGTTGGTGATCATTTCTTTAATTCTCACTAGCCTTATGTTTGATTCAGCAGTGATACCTTAGTGAGAAAATAGATGCTAATCACACCCAGAGGTTAAAGGGTTAATCAAACAGACATGTTCCTTTTCATGATCAAAGGAAAAATAAACTTTAACATAGCAATCAACAAAATTAACAAATCAAAATAACCACAACAGTTATTAAAAATAACAATAAATTTAATATTTATAACATGTACATATTCATTTACTTATGCTCATACGTGCAAAGAGAGAAACAAATGTCTCAAAATAACATAAAGTGCTTGAAAAATCCCTACTAGCAGGGGGCAGATCAGTTGGCTACTTACACAGCGCAGCCAAGGAGTTGAACTCAGGGCAACCAAGAAAAAATCCAGTGAGTAACAGGGTGGAGGGCTTGAACCCGGGACCAGCAGATTACAAGTCCAGCACCCTAACCACTCAGCCATGCTGCCTCTACACATTTAAAAAATAATTTGAAGGGTTGTCTTGTCTGTTATGTTTCCTGCTTATTGGAAAATTCAAACTCGCTTTAAAGATTAGGAATTAAATATGCCACTTCATAAGACTTGGCATTTGACTCAAGCCAAAATCCAAAGTCTTCAAATTTTGAAATTTCTTATTTTGACCTTACATTTGGAAGTTAATCATTAAATAAATTATACCAAGTGAGAGTCACAAGTTCTTTTTACATCTTAATCCTTTAACCCTTGAGACTGATTAGCATCTTATTTCTCCCAACAGTATAACCCATGCATCACACAGTAAGGTCACGAGAATAAAGGAAATGATCACAAACTAAATATTCTCTTGATTAATAAACAAATTCTCCTTCTCAGCGCCTTAGGAAATGTATAAAAACAGTATGGAGAATGTGCATACTGAAGTTAGGGTGTAAAGGGCTAACCCTTCAACTCAAGCTCTAAAGATCCCAATACTAATTCTCCCTTCTTGTTGCCATTGAATCTTCCTAGTGAACTAGACAGGGGAATTTGGTTTTATTCCAAAACAACACCCTCTTTCTGATAAGCTTCTCTGTTCTCACGATCTGTTTACAAGATAAAGATGAATACCCTGTTAGAATTACAAGGAGAATTTACATGTCAATTACTTTTGGGAGATAAACAGTTAATATAAACTAAGCTGCACCTAGTAACTTCTTCTACAAGGTAACAATGACAAGGGTTCCAATTGACATCAACTCTTAAAGTGAGAGGGAACAGGAACACTATATAACAGGAAGCATGAGACTACTTTCCCTCTTGACTAGAGAAATCACATTCTTGTGCTGACAATGAAATATTTGAAAGTAAATGTATATACCTGCAGTGTGTGCATTCCCATGTACAGACGACTGGTTGATACCAGAACACACCAACATATTCCAAATATAACACCAATGTATAAGGGATACTGCAACAAATAAAATCCACGTGAGAACAACAGTAAGTTGTTTTGTTTTTAATCTATTAGATTGTAGAATTTTATGTTATTACATAATTGTGCCCCTTGATAAATATTTCTTTTAAAAGATGGGGTATCAAGAAGACTTTGCTAGTAGAATTCCTTGGAAAATAAGGTTATAAATGCTATCACCCTGGTCCAACTTCCTTATAATCTGGAACTGCAAATTCCAAGGAGGAACTCAAAATTTGTTCATGCTTCTTTTCACAGACAATGAAGATCCTATGATAGCAATTTGTAAAGCATTGTTTTATAATGGCAAAATGCAATTCATATTGTTAAAGGCTGCATTTGAGCTTGAAGTATTTTGTACGCAAAATGAAGCAAATTAGAGCACATCACTTGACACTGGAGACAGTACTTGATTTCACTAATTTTTACAGGGATCATTTTTTATTTCCTTATCAGCACCTTGCTATCAAGAAAATGATGCAAGCAATCCACTGATCTCTCAAATTTGCCTTGCAGAATATTCAGGAATTTTGTCTGATCTGAGCTGAATCACTTCCTGACATCCAAGTAGTCATGCACTGAAACTCCTTACAGTTGCCAATTTATGTTATCATTTCATTTGATAATACTAAATTAGCCTCTTATACTCTCCCACCAACACAGCATCACAAGTGATCCACCGATCTCTCAAATTTGCTTTTCAGAATATTCAGGAATTTTGTCTGATCTGAGCTGAATCACTTCCTGACATCCAAGAAGTCATGCACTGAAACTCCTTACGGTCGCCAGTTTACGTTATCAATTCATTTGATCACACTAAATGGTAAACTTTCTGCACAGCTCCCTACTACATTATGCATTCAGTTCTTGGATAGAGAAAACAACGACAAAAAATACATTGCCGTTGAGAAAACAGATTTGTTTTATTTATGGGGCTGTGCGGAAATTTTACCATACTAAATTACCCTGTTATACTCTCCCACCGACGCAACACCACAGTTTCTTACGAAACTTACTTCCTTTGGCATAACAAAACTTGTATACAGTATCAAGACAAAGGGGTGTGGAAAATTTCCCGTTTGCATAAAACGGTTATTAACATGACAGTGTAGCAAGCCATCGATTCGTTACGAACGATGTTAGGACAATTATCTCTTTGATTAGCATGTTCCCACCTCAAGTGACATATTTACATGGTCTGATTGCAACAAGTGTACAAGGAGCTAACCCTAAACATATTAATAAACGTAACAGGTACAAACCACGACAAAAATGAGCTTACCTGGTAACGATCGTAACTAAAATACACCAAACAAAACGGAATAATAGTCCCCACCATCGCGTGGGTCGACGGCATGCCATATTCCACTTGGAAACGTTTCTCCACAGAAATCACTGGAGGAGATGGCGGTCTTGGCCACTGAATGACATCTTTGGCACTCTGACCTAGGTACATAATAACAGCCCATAAAATAACAGTTCTTCGAGCGAGATATTCGTCAATGTTCCAAATCAAGAAAGGAAAAAATGTGAGATAAAACGACTCGTAGCCCAGGGTTGAACCAAACACGAAAAGCGCGTGGAAAAATCTGTTGCACTCGTACTGCTGGCCGATTTTCTTTTCCTTGCCAGCTGATTTGGACTTCTCTAGTGGCTCAGGCTTGACGAATCCGTTTCGCTGATGGGCGTGATTTGAACCGTTCGTGAGAAGATGGTTGTTGTGTGTAGAATATCCATCGGAAACATGTCCATTTCCTAACGACGAGGAGTCGTTCTGATCACGCATCTTGGAGAGGTCATCATTTTCGTCCACCCTCCTTAGACCAAACGTCTGTTGGAATTTAGCGACAACATAAGGATCTCCTAATGCTTTGAGCATTGTGAATTAGTGTAATCCACAGCTGGTTTGAGCAGAATTTGGGGTTACGGAGGGGAGTGTGACGTGCCGGCTGCTTGCAAGGGAAGGTCAGGCTCGGTTACTCAGGTGATAAATAAGCGAACCCTTAACTTACCTAATATGGATATGCATGATCACGCCACACTGGGTCACTTGCAGGACACGTGATAAATGGGGGACTCCCTGACCCAGAAATGGATGATTTCCTCTCAGGAATTGTACAATATTGTGTACAAACTTTATTACTTTATTTTCAGAATACAAGGCTGAAATATTTTCCTCATCGATTAATAAACTACAGCATGGAAACAAAATCCAGAATTAGAGAAAGATTTTTTTTTTAGCTCGGTAAAGAAATAGAAAAACATCTTTCTCTATTTCTTTACCGAGCTCAAAACTTACTATCTCTTTTATTTCTATCTACAAACATTACGCTTTCGACAGTGCAGATCCTAGCAGTATGCAGGAAGCGTGTGATCTAAACTTCGTAAAAGGCCTTATTTACCGTGGAGTCTTTGTGACTCAGTGGTTAGTGTATCGAGCGCGTAAACCGAATGACTGAGCTTCGACTTCTCATGGGAAACTAAAATTTTTCTGTTGTCGTGACAAGACGAAAAAAAAAAACCATCTTTTATTTACCGAGCTCAAAACTTACCATCTCTCTTATTTCTATCTACAAAACCAGAGTTACTCCCGAATTTTCAAGAAATTATTTTCCATTCTGAAAGTTTGAAAATTTCTTAGATGAGTCTGTCCGTACCCTGTATTCCCATTCTTGCGTGATTGATGACGTAATATTGGGTAGCATCCTGATGAGCGGGGAACTCTGAACAACCGATTCCCAAAGGGTGAGCGCTCTATTTATGACAGGCAACAAAGGAAATTATCTTCAGGAGGTCATCTCGGGTCGATTTTTGTACTTTGCGCTGTACTTTGCGCTTTAGTTTGCGCTGTACTTTGCTTTCGCTCATGAATTTGAACAAGTTTTTAAAAGGCTGTTTGCACTTCTTTACCGTTGCTAACCTATAAAACAGTTTCCAAAAAAGTATTCTATGCCTCCTTTTCACGGATAGTCGATTAAAGACACGAGACCTCCACGCAAACTCTCAAACGGATGATCTCAATACACCGGAAATAGAAAAAGAAATATGGTTACAGTCCGGTCAAGATCATGATTGAAACACCTCACGCGCGCGTACTAGCCACGAGTGGGAAAATCACTTCGGCACCCGGAAGCCCATTTTTGATAGGGCCGCGAACATCACAAATTGGCTTAAATTACCGAGCTCATCTTTTCAGAAGACTCATGGTTTAAGGAATTTTTTACGTTTCGCAAATTAAGATCAATTTTTAGGAGTACAAGGCACAAGAGTTTTTTTTAACGCATTTTGGCTGAAAATTATTTTTTTAGAGAGAGAGAGAGAGAGAAAGAGAGAGAGAGAGAGAGAGGGGGGGGGAAATAAACTGCAGAAAAAATTACAATAATAGGAAAGTAAAATTCCAAACCACATTTTAATGGTGTAGTAGATAGATATGAATGGAAATCAAGCTCTTTTCATCTTCTTCTCATGGGAAGTGTTTGATCTCTAATATCAGTTTTGATTTCTTGAATAAATCTTGTGATATCAAAGAGCAATTACCTTTTTTGCTAGTGATGGGCAGGGTAGGTGTATTAGGGGAGGGGTAAGGTGGCCTGGAGAAAGTGGGAGAGGGCTATCACAAGAATCATCTACAAAAAGAAGGAAAGAAAGAAATGTTCAAAAACTTTATCCTGAGTATTTAAAATGTTCAGTTAGAACTCCATTGTTCAAAACTTCTTAACAGAGATATGTCTTACAATCAAATTACTGAAAACATTGTTTTTAGCATTTTACAATCTACAGTCCATATCCACTGTGTTTCTGGGTAGTGCTGAGTAAATTATGCATCATTGGAAATGTTTAACATACACACTTAAAGACAAAAGTAACATAAGCTCTCCAAAAACATCTCTTGTCCAGTAGATTGGACTTCAGCCAGATTATGGAGTCCTATTTTCAATACTGACAAGCTGTAGGGTCCCTTCATAAAAGTACCTTAAAGCAATTTCCATAACAGCAGTTTATAATCGAATCTTACAAGCTGCTGTTTTCTGGTTTACAGTTGTTACAAATGTTTCTCCTCGATTACCTCCTTAACTCCCAAGATCCAACAAGTAAGTCTCCCTTCTGACTGCTATACATTACCTTGAGAACTAGACTGGAGAATTTGGTGTTCTATCAAAATAACACCTTCCAAATGATAAACTTCTCAGTTCTCATTACCTGTTAGCCAGATAATGTATTTGAATCACTAGGAGAAATTACATATTAATCACTTGTAGGTGTTATAGGTTTGACAGATGAAGTAACATGTGAAAGGAAGTTACATTTATAGTAACAATAATTTGTTCCCTCATGGATATTTTTCAACAGCACTGTCACCACCAACTGTCCTTGCCTGAGCTCTTGTTCGAGGGTCTGTCGATCGCCAGTTCAGCCGGACTTTTAAAAAGTCTGAGTGTTCCAATCCCAAAAAGTCCTAGGTGAAAGAAAAATTGAAGTAACATTGATGCAGTGTTCCTAAATGAGGGAGGAATGCATTCTGGTTTGAACCCCATGAAGCACGTTTTTTCAGTTTTCTTCATGCTGATAATAGTACCCAACTATGATCTGGTTGGCACAGTTTCAAACTGTGTCAATGCCTTAATATTTTCAGGCTTCTTTAATTGCAATCCCCTAAATACATGCAGTTCAACTGCAAGGATTGTTTCATCATTTACTTTTAAGAAAAGATTTTGGCATGTTTTCATCAAAGAAAAAGTCTCACATACCCACACCAAATAATCCAGTCATGACCTTTGCTGGCATGTTCGAAGCTGGGATAGTCTTGACAGTATTCAACGCGATGTATCCACAAACATAACACACTGATGCACCAATGAACTTACAACTCACACAATCCTCATTAAACTCTATGTCGAGCTTCCTAACCAATGCTGACCAACTGTCATTGGTATTTTCCTGTGTAAGAAAAAGAAGATGAATGTGAAAAAGATGCATAAATTAAAAAAGGAGGTTATGGATGAAAACAACCATCAAGTTACATTATTTCATTAGTTTTTTAACCCTTCATCTTTCACGAGTGACCAAGACAGAATTTCTCCTCACAATATCAATACAATATCAACCAGATAAGTGATGAGAATAAAGAAAAATATAAATTTGGGGAAAATTAGTTAATCCAAAAGTAAATTCTCTGAACTAACACTGTAAGAATTGGATGGTTGACAGTAAGGAGAATTACAAATTTGATCTGGGAGATAATTAAATAACAATTAAAGAAATACCAATACAACTTGGTAACCAATTCAAAAAGTAACACACTCGCACGACGTCGATACAGTACAATTGGTACTCTCTGTACACATTCAATTGCGGTGTGACTTGCATACGGTGACGCCACTTTCCATAATATCCAGGCTGTATAAAAATATATTTATCACGTACAGACAAGAAGGATACCCATACCTCCTTATAAACCGGTTTTGGTTCTTCCACTACATCAGGTAACTTTTCTAACGGAGGAAGTTTCTTGTTCTCTTCTGAGTTAGAGGAAGACGCCATATCGTAGGCTTTATTGAACACGTTATGTACGCCTGCATGAATTCTAGTCATTCAGCACCAGTCTATGCAGAGCTTTTTTCAGCTGGTGTGGCTCTCTTTAGCCATAGCATTAGGGTTTTCCTATACAATCCGTTTTCATCGTCTTGCTACAGAACTTGATTGTAAAGTTTACACGTTAAAGAGTAAGGATATTAATCGAGGAATTTATTCACAATGCCTGAGTTGAAGACAAACGCTGGAGATGGAAATAAACAAGGGGCTTTCAAAGACAAGGATAAGCCCACCGAGATTCGTATGAGTAACATCACAGCAGCAAAAGGTGAGTATTTCTGCCTGTGATTCAATATCTACAATAGGAGGATTTACAAGAGAACTATTTTGCGTTCTTAGCTGTTGCAGATGCGATCAGAACAAGTCTTGGGCCTAAAGGGATGGACAAAATGGTGAGTGACAGCCACATGTAGTAATGGAGCTATGCAGACTTGTCACTATTGGAGTGTTGTTGGTGAAACGAACGTTTTCACTTTGTATGGTTTCACAAAGCCTTTTTTTGGCTTAAATGTTGAATTTTTGTAACATATTCGAAATTGAAGTGATGACAGACTTGATACGACAAATTATCCAGACTGGAAATAAAGGTTTGAAGTATATTTTTCAATTTTTTTTGGCACTCAGCCAGATTGTCAGCCGGCATCTTTGACTGATTTCCAGCCGTCAACTTTGAGAGGTTTCCATTTCCATCTCTTAACCCTCTGAGCCCTTAATAATTCCTAGCATCTAATTTCTCCCCACAATATTACCCCCTATGAGAATTAAGGAAATGATCACCCAAACTATGATAGGATGTAAAAGGTTTATAAATCAAGTTTTAAGCCCCACAGCCTTAAGCTTTGCAGCTTTGCGAGTTAGTCAGCCTTATATACTCTCTTGCATTTTTTCATAGATATTTTGGGTGATGAGATACTGGTCTCTGTTCCAATTCATACACACTTACAAGGAATTGTAACAAATCCCTTCTGTACAGCTTAGTACAATGCTTATTCCAAAAAATTGAACTTATTGTTGTTTGTGTTCTTGGCTACTGTCTTAGATCCAAAGTGGAAATGGTGATGTAACAATCACCAATGATGGTGCCACAATTTTGAAGCAAATGCAGGTGTTGCACCCAGCTGCAAGAATGGTAAAGTGGTTATTTATCCATATTGAGATATACAGTAGAGTTTCTTGTTAGTGGAGGGAGAGGAAAGATATAAAAAGTTAGTTAGTTATGATTAACAACTGCATCACTAAGTGGAGGTTGGGTGACCAAGACATCCAGGAGCTTTCACTATTGGCAGCCAGCTCCTAGATGGAGACTGCTCCCATGGCTGGCAAATCCTGACAACTCAGCCATGAGCTCTCAGGCAGGAAAGGGAAACAGGCACCAGTCATACTGAATAAACAGTGGAAAGAGGGAAGGAAGAGGGAGAAAAACTACCTGGATAATGAGCTGGCACTTCAAACAATGCTGAAAGTTCACACTCAAAGCTTTCACAAGAAAGCCTTAAATGAAGAGTACACGGAATTCCCACGCACACGCATATGCAACAACAGCAGACTACTAGAGAAAGCTGATGCTCTTTGTTGTTAACTCTGTTAAATTACATTAAACTGCATATAATTTTTACTGCAAAATTTGTATTTAATGTTTCTTGCTGGAGTTACATGCTGTGCTCCACTACTGATGTAAAATGCGAATCTGTACCAAGTGTTTGTTTTTACCCTCTTCATTAAATAGCTTGCCCACATTTCTGGCTTGTTATTCAGATGGGAGGGAGAAATCAAATGGTTGCTCCAACAACTTTACTGTAACTGATACGTTTAAAGTCAATAGAAGCAATCAACATGGGCTTGTTAGGTGTACAGTTGTACATTTAGACCATCTGTAAAGTATGAAGTAATGTCTCTGCTGTGTTCATATATATAATGCCTTGAGAGTCTTAGTAATAAATTTTTTTCATGCAGTAACTTGTTTCCAGGACTACATTTTTAAGCTTGACTTTTTGAGTTGCAATGAAACTAGTGCTTTTGTGTGTTATGCAGTAAAAAGTTTGTTATCTTTTCTCTCATAAATGAGTTTTAGGTTTTGATACTAATGACAGCTTTTGTGTACCATCTAAACCACATGATTTAAAATTGTATATCTATTATTGTGATTTTAGCTGGTAGAGTTGTCTAAAGCTCAAGACATAGAGGCTGGAGATGGTACAACAACTGTAGTAGTGATTGCTGGGAGCTTACTCAGTGCTAGTGCTAAACTACTGGAGAAAGGTAACTTTTTACTACATACACCTTAAAAGGATTAATTGTATGTGGAAATTAGATACAGACACCATGTAAGATTTATCTCTTTAAATGTGCTTGGCTAGATAGTTTGAGCAACATTAGCATCTTCTTGAGTTATTTACATTTAGTGTAATGGAAAGAATGACATTATACCCTCTTCATTTAATAGCTTGCTTGAACCAATGGCTTGTTATTCAGATGAGAGGGAGAAAAAAAATGATTGCCCCCAACAACTTTTTCATTAATTTTGTAATGTTAAGGTCACTTAAGGCAACCTACAACTTCTCTTAAAATTATTTGAGAAAGGTTTGGTCAGAGAACTCTTAAAGTATATCTGTACCAACTTGTTTACCTCCTGTTTTTTTTTTTAATTACTTGTGGTCCTAGAGATAAAACAAAAGTCAAAGAAAACGTTGATTAGAGTCTCACAAATTATTTATCTTTAAAGTTTGTTCTGAGAGCATAATGTACAAATGTACCTCAAGATTTGGACTGGAAAATTTGCCTTCCAGAGTAAGAAAGATGTCACAAAAATAAAGACATTAAAGTGATCAGATGTATTGATCTTTTTTTAACAGTCTTTCTTCATCATTGTAGGAATTCACCCCACCACTGTATCTGAATCTTTTGAGAAGGCAGCTGCTAAGGCAGTGGAAATACTGACAACCATGTCTATGCCAGTTGCTTTAAGTGACAGAGCATCTCTACTGAAAAGTGCAATGACATCCCTCAGTTCTAAGGTGATGGGGCTGGCACCAATTATGTGTTAATTTAGTACCGTACAGTAGTTAACTCTACTCCACTCTACTTCCAGCAGGTTTTAAGCAGCATGAAAGCATTTTTTTGACATTCTTGTCTTCTTTAAATCTGAGTAGTGTTTTTTTGAGATTTTGCCATCTCTTTAGATGTTGTTTGTGGTCTTAATATTTCCTTTCATTTCCTCATTAGGTTGTCTCTCAGTACTCAAATCTTCTGGCACCAATCACGGTTGATGCTGTCCTTAGAGTCATTGATCCTGCAACAGCTGAAAATGTTAACCTTAAAGATATCCGAGTTGTGCAGAAATTAGGGTATGTCATTAAAATGGATTTGCTTAAATTTTTCCCAGTTCTGATTCCATGTAGCAACATTAAGCTGCAAAATTGCTTCTCTGTAAGAAGATTTGTAAAGATGGGTACAGTGTGCAAGGACTCTGGTGTACAGCTATGATGACCAAATGATTGCCCCCATAATATTCTTCTGTGATTAATCAATCTGCACCATTGAGTGCTGTCTGAGCTGTTTCCTTGTATAGTGTTGATATTTTACCATAGTGAATATTTTTGGTCTGTTTTGGTTCAGAAAATTTTCTATCTTGAATGTTCATGATATCACAATTTCTGTCTGTGACATGACTGTCAGACAAATAACTTGAATTGTGGAATTAACTCCAAGCTTTGATTAACTCATCTTCGGAAACTCTTGCTTCCTCTTCTCATCTTGGCATGGTCTTGAACAATGTTAACAATTCTTTTACCTTCTTCATTGAGATGGTTGTGTTTTGTTTTTCAGTGGCACAGTAGATGATACAGAGCTGGTGGAGGGTCTTGTTCTGGAACAAAAAATCAGCCATTTGGCTGGAGGAATATCGCAAGTGGAGAAAGCCAAAATTGGACTTATACAGTTCTGTATTTCTCCTCCAAAAACAGATGTAAGTTTGAATGGATTGATAACTTTGTGTGGATAGCAAGTAAAATTCACAAATCTGTATCTAATTTAGTAAAAGATAAGCAGTTTTTCAAGCATGGGGGTGCACTGATTTTGCTGATAGGCTAGGTAACATAAGCCTGTTCAGATTTCTGATGTTAATATAAACAAGACCAATTTTCTGTTTACTATATTCAGAGTTAAAATCACCCCAAAAATTCACAGTAATCATATTAAAGAAACCTTTTTTAACCCTTTAATTCCTGAGAGTGACCAGCATCTAAATTCTCCTTTCAATATCACCCCTGAATCAAACATTAAGGTTATGAGAATAAAGGAAATGATAACAAACTGAAGAATCTCTAGATTGCTTAACAAATTCTCCTTGCCAGCACATTAGGAAATTTATAGAGAACAGTATGGAGAATATGCATACTGATGTTAAGGTGTAAAGGGTTAATTGACCAGACTATGAATTGTTTTCCTATCAGATGGAAAATCAAGTAATAGTTAGTGACTACACACAGATGGACAGGGTGCTACGCGAGGAACGTCAGTACATCCTTGATATCTGCAAGAAAATAAAAAAGGCAGGATGTAATGTTCTGCTCATCCAAAAATCTATTCTAAGGTATGTTGTGCACATTTTTCAGCTTTTGTGTTTATTTGTAGTCTTGTTGATTGGGTTGTTATTTTAGGACCAGGCTGGGAAGGCACAAGTTTAAATTTTTGCGAGGTTTTTATCTTTCTCTGTTAATATTCTCTGCTGTTTTCTGTTTTACAGAGATGCTGTCAGTGACTTAGCCCTCCATTTCTTGAACAAAATGAAGATTCTTGTTGTTAGGGACATAGAGAGAGATGAAATAGAATTCATATGCAAGGTAAGTGAACCTTGTGGGGCTAAGGAATTTATTCAAGCAATCCAGGGGAAAATAGTCACAAATAGTAGAAAGATGCAGCCAAAGAACTCCATTTTGAAGTTTGTAGAGGTTATTGGAAAGGTGGTGCACATTTTTGTCTCAAGATTCTTGTGTGAAAGCGTATATTTGTTGTAACGTTATATAGAGTTGAATCTTAATTGGAGGGAAAACGGCTGAAAATAAACTGTAAGCTGGTTTTTTTTTCTGAAAGTGTTTAGAACTTATAAGTAGATTGATATTAATCTTGATTTGAGTCAGTCGTGATTTAAACAACAATTTTAGGTTGTCACTACCAGAACTTTGCGTCGAGATGAATGCAGTAAATTTGTTATCTTCTTGATTTCAGAGCTTAGGATGTAAACCAATTGCCAGTTTGGATCACTTCACTCCAGAGATGTTGGCAACTGCAGAGCTTGTGGAGGAAGTACCCCTGGGTACCAGCAAAGTAGTCAAGGTGACAGGGGTTACCAATCCTGGTCGAACTGTCAGCATATTGGTGAGAGGATCCAACAAGCTTGTCTTGGAAGAGGCTGAGCGATCACTTCATGATGCTCTTTGTGTTGTGAGATGCTTGGTTAAGAAGAGGTAACTTGTGAATCATGAAAACGATATCTTAGTGGAAGATCATTTCCCTTGAAGGTGGTAGGGGAGGAAAAATGTCCATAAACATTGACTCAAAAGGAGGAAGAGTGTGGATATGCAAGTACCAAAGCCTTTTTCTCAAGCTTGTTATGATTGCTAAACATTTTTCTTTACTCTGATACTTCCTTTATACTTCGAGCTTGTTTCTATTGGTTTAACGGGCCGAATTTCACTGTACTGCCCCATAAATTCAAAGTTTGTTTAAATTGAGATCTTCCCCTTCATTAGCCGGAGTCTTAGTTATGCAACTGTAAGTGTGACTAACACAGTATGCTTATAAATCTTCTAAAATATATATAATAATTGTCAACGTTATAAAAAAAAAAGAGATTTCTATCAGAAATCTTCGTACATACCTCTTACTAATCTTGTTTTCTCGGTCTGTACTTTAAATTACGGAACCTTGCGCTTGGGCCGTAAATCCGAGCGGAAATAACTCGGTCTGTGACTTACAGTACGGGCCAAGAAAGCGAGGGTAGTAAGAGGTATATATGAAGATTTCTGACAGAATTCCTTTTTTTCAACGTTGGCTATGATTATATGTATGGTAGAAGGTTTATAGGCGTAGCATGTTACTCACACACTTCGTACTAGATTAACAGGGACAGAGTCATTTTTCATATTTGTTCTTCAACCGGTTCATTTCTTATTCATTTTATTAGTTGATTTAATTCATTCTGATTCTTGATATCAACAGAGCTCTCATAGCGGGAGGCGGAGCTCCAGAGATCGAAGTGTCCATCAAGCTGGCTGAACATGCGCGCACGTTGACAGGAATGGAGGCGTATTGTGTCCGTGCATTTGCAGAGGCGTTGGAAGTTATCCCTTACACACTCTCCGAGAATGCTGGTCTGAATCCTATTGCTACAGTCACGGAGCTAAGGAACAGGCATGCAAAGGGCGAAACTACCGCAGGAATAAACGTCAGGAAGGTGAGATCCTGGAAATTCTATTCAAGTGTTCAAATGTTTATTTTGTGGACCGTTTTTACTCCACAACAGTTACATATAGAAGTCTGTTATTCTTGTTATACTTTGTCCAACTCCAATAGTTCTTTAAATAGCTTGACGTTTTCTATCATGTTTGGCCTTTTGGCGTTTGGTTTTTGAATTGTGCCCGGCATCTTTAAGAAATGTAAGTTGAGCACAGCGAGATACATTGTTTCATAACATTTTCTTGGGAAATTGACTTGTTAACCTCAACGCCGTGTGCTACGGGCAGTTTCACTCGTATGGCGTTTTTTTTTTCTATTTGTCGGCAGAGTTTTATTCAGTTTTCTTTTTTCATATTTCATTTTTGTTCATATCTTTGTTTTTCAGGGCACAATTACTAATATTCTAGAAGAGAACGTTCTGCAGCCGCTTCTCGTGTCAACCAGTGCCATTCAGTTGGCATCCGAGACAGTTCGTAGCATTCTGAAGATCGATGACATTGTAAGTATAAATAACTATCATTGGTAAATTTAACGGCCTCAAGTTATACAAGGTATTCTAAGCAGACCGCACGCAACCGGGATATTTTTCCCACTGGTTTCATAATGACGGAGGTTAAGTGAGAGTAACAAGGAGCGTTAGAAACAGCAATATACAATGACAGCTATTTTTTATGGCAGAAGTTAAAGATTAGGGTCAGTGTGTTTAAAACAGGATTACCAAACTTTTGATTTAGCTTTTCACAGGTTTAAGCTTTTAATTCCACCATCCCTTCCTCACAGTAAGATGAACTCCGACCAAAATCTGGCCACAATACACGTTGCAGTATAAAATTGGAAAAACCAGAGCAAGAATTAATTTCTGAAATCTTCTTTTACAGGTAAATACAAGATAAATGTCGAAGGAAAGATATCACTAAGAAGCCATGTGCCGCTGGGATGCGAGCGCGTGTACAGGAGAAACTAAAAAGACCACAAACAGATCGAAACCTACTCAAAATAAACTGTTCAGCTTGATATGAACAATTTGCACAGTGTTGAGTCACCAGTTTCTCCATTATGAAATGGAGACATTTGGCAACTGAATTACTCAGAATTCCTGGCTTTCAATATTATTAAAGAGAGTGAAATACTTTGTGTTTAAATTATCATTTAGTTGACGAGTTCAAGGGTGTAGACAGGATCCTTCAAAATGAGGTTCCTTCATCGCTGTCGGATTGGAGAGGGTGCTAAATATTAGTTTGGGAGTCACAAACATGTAACCTGGTGTGTTTCAACCTTTTACTGTCTAACATCAGGATACATATTCTCCATACTGTTCTCTGTGCATCTCCTAAGTTTCTGGCGAGGAGAATCACTTCCTCTATTCTCATGACCGCAATGCATGATTCAGGGGTGGTGTAGTAAGGAGAAATAGGATGCTAATCACTGGCAGGGGTTCAAAGTGTTTAAAATGTTTCATTGTGCGTTGTTGAACTGTTTGTCAGACATCTCGATAAACTAGAGGAGGAACAGACCTAGAAAACGCCAGGGCGTGTCACGAATAATCGCGATTCCTTTCTCCAAATACCGGTAGCAATTCTGTTAACAAGGGGGGTAAGTTTCTTAAGAAACTGTGGTGCTGCGTCGGTGGGAGAGTGTAACAAGGTAATTTTAGTATTATCGACTGAGTTGATAGCGTTAATTGGCCACCGTAAAGAGTCGAAAAGCTGACGTTTTGAGCTTCAGCCCTTCGTCAGAGCGATTGACAAAGGGCTAACGCTCGAGATGTTAGCTTTCTAACTCTGCGGTGGCCAATTTACATTAACAACTCAGTTGATAATGATAAATTGTCAAGCAATTCTCCTAACTCATTTCGTTTCTATGCAACAATTCAAGTAATCCTATGCAACATACCGGCTTCTAACTGTCAGGAGACGGGAAACAGGAAATCGGGAATTTATTTAAGACTGACGGAAGGTTCCATAAGTAATTACATTTAAGTCCATTATTTTAGTTCGCGAGCAAAGAAAAGTGATTTGAATTTGAGGCTGAACCTTGCACCAACCCAGGTGGGTAGAAAATAATAATTTCTGGTGCACGTGCAGGGCGAAGCTGCAAAATACATGTATGTTTTGAATGAACGATCTCACCAGCAAGAGCTTACTCCCAAGCGTGCATAATTGCCATATAAATAAACCGCTGCATTCTTGAGCATCGCTGTGACAAGGTTGGGAGGTTTTTACGCTACAATAAATCTCTTGTTGATTCAACTTACGAATCTTTAGTGTCTCTGTGAAACAGGGCCAAAATACTCCCCACACTGCAAGGTGGCGACCCCACCAGGACAGCTTGACATATTGTATCGTATCGGTTCGACGGGTGATACTGTTCTTGCGAAGTGAGAGTAGAGCGGAAGATTTGATTTTGAAGGGTTAAGAACGGATTGGAACGATAATCAACATTAATAAATAAACAAGCATAAAAATAGTAAATAGTTTTCCGTAATGGGAACACAGCTTGAGTTACTATGATCATCAGATTGACACCTGGAAATTTCAACCCTTATACCTTTCCTCTTTCGAGAGGAAACTGGGTTCAAGACAAAGTCACGCTAGTTCGTTGCCATAAACATGGCCGACCGAGACCAAAGCGGCCGTCCGCCGCCACTTCCATCGGGCTATGACTACGACTTTGTTACAGAACTAGATGAAGATTTTGTCTGTCAGATATGCCAGTTACCTTTAAGAAATGCTGTGTTAACTAGATGTGGACACAGATTTTGCCATGACTGTCTCAATGAACATTTCAAACGGTAAGTTGGAATGGTTATTCCAGAACTGTCGTCTGAGTGAATCGATTGATCTTCGAATGCCTAATGAATTATAGATGAAACAGGACTACCCCTATTTTTGAAGAAGAAGCATATTTCACAGATGATAATTCTGTAATTACTTAGAGCCAATGCCATCATCAATGCAACTTTTTTAGAAGTGTAGTCAAATGTTCGAATCTAAGTCAGCTGATGCAGAACTTAGCTCCTCGTGAGACAAAAACAAGCTGCAAGGCAATTTCAAACTTCATGTTGATGTCCAATTGTGGAGTTCTAGTTGTTTTTATATTTCTATTGTCGAGCAATATGAGGCATTGAAGCCTTGTTAGGAATGAAATCATCCTGATTGGTTTTAGCTTCCTTCTGGTCATAATGAATCAAACCGAGCAGTTAAAAGCTTTGCACGTATCTTGAAAGTCGTGTTTTAAATTCATAGTTTGTTTCAACGCAAACATTTGCGATATGTCAGCTCTAAGGTCCGAAAAGAGTAGCCTAAATCTGGCAAGTGGGTGGGCAAAACTTTGAATTTTGCCCTAATTTCAAGTTTGGGATGCATATTCTCTGGTAGATGACATTGCACAATTGCCAGCGAGAAATGTTTCGTCATTGAGTCTGCAGAATTTCGCACTACGTGAACTAAGAACGGTTCTCTTGTTATTACAAATCTTCTATTTTGTGGTAATACACAGATAGATGCATGTAACGCGAAGTAAAATCTCTTGTCCTTGTCACTGTATTATGTGAATGCGGGCAAAATTTTGTTGCTTTGCTTTTCACAGTGGGGTTTTTGCAAAACTACCGTTGAAAAACAAGTGGTGTCTTTATAGGATCTCACAATCGAAAACAGTGTTTTCTTCGTCAACATAATGAAACCAGGGTCATTTTCAGGACAACTACGTTATCTTGATGATTACCCTACAAAATATACATTGAATGTTGACACACTGAATGTTACTTTATCACAAAGAAGCATTTCTTTTGACGAGAGTTCTCTCTTTTTAGAATACAACATCCTAACTGCCCACTAGACAGAACAAGACTGGATAAAGACAAGGTACTTCCTATAGTGGTTTATTCCAAGTGCTTCTGTAACAAAAAAGCTTATTCTCCATCTCACTCAATTTTTAAGGCTATTTTTACCAAAAACACATGTAATTGTTATGCCTATATTCCCGAAGTAAGTTGGTTTTTCTTAACTAAGATGTCTTAAAGTAAATGGTTTGAACCCAGGAGTATCAGTAGTTCGTATAGCATGATCATCCGGGTGAGTGTCACCAACAACAGTTCTTTTCAGAACTACACTCACCCGGATGATCACACTATATGAACTACTAAGATATCTTGTTTAAACCATCGGCTAATACCAGATCCTTTTTCAGTCAAGTTGCTCAAAGATCTTTAGAAAAAGTCACATTATGTACTCACTTATTTGAATATTAAGTTAAAACTTTGTAATTGCAGTTAATTTCTATATATGAAACATTAGCTGCTTTCATTCTGTTCCCCAGATATGCTACTTGTACCTAAAAGTGAAAGAGCAGGGAAAGTGGAAGAGGAGAGAATGTTACTTAAGTTCACAACTTTCCTACAATAAAATTGATCCCAAAATTAATCTTAGCCTCAATCAGTTAGGAATGATTAAATTTGATTTTGATCTGTTTTTGTATCCATCATTTCAATCTTATTTTATTTGTAGGATATTTTTCCAGATAAGGCAAGTGAGAGAAGGATTCTCTCTTACTTTGTCAAGTGTCCTAATAGATGCCAGTGGGAAGGAGAGCTCAGAGATGTGGAGGTAGCTAATCAGAATTTTTTCCTTAAAAAAAAGAAAATAAGGTGGATATATTAAGTCCTAGCTTGCTGGTAAACTTTTCCTACTAATTTACCAGCAAACCTAACTTTAGGTGCTTAAGCTTAAAGCACATGAAGTCAAGCGTGGTCCTAGGGATATGAAAATCTTGAAATCCATGCTTTCAGTCTATCATCATCCCTTTGATTTGTCAGCTTAAACAGGTATGAAATGGAAGTTCATATTCAACATTTAAAAGGGAGTAGGAGTGTCAAAGCTGTCTGTATTTTATTAGTTAACAGTCTTTATCTGATGCTTTTTTACACACACCTTTTTACGCACACCTTTTGCTGCGCTAATGTAGGGCTAACACTTGAAAATTCAGCTTTGAAAGTCTTTACAGTGGCTAATTTACATTATACAAACTCAGTTGATAATACTAAGTTTCCCTGTTATACCCTCTCACCTATGCAGTAATACAGTTTCTTTAGAAACTTACTGCCTTTATTCGTATTGTTCCTTGTCTGATGTTACAAACTAAGGGAGACAAGATTAATCTTGTCTCATCAAGACATTTAATCTGCTTTTCAGACTGGTTACCCTAATGTAGATGATACCAGATTTAAAAGTTGCCATTCTTACACATACATGTATAACAAGCAGCTCATTTTAGAATAAAATTCTACTTGTGTGAAGGATAATTTTTAGGTGATTGTAACTGCTTTTTACTTTTTCAAATTTCATTGTTTTGCATTCTAGTGTGCATACATGTACCATGTGCTGTTGCTAAGTATTGTTATTTTTGTTGGAATCTTTCAGAACCACCAACAGATTTGTCCCTATGAGGTTGTGCAGTGTCCAAGTTCTAACTGCCGTGTGTTCCTGGCAAGGAACCTGATTGAAGAACATGTGGCCGTGTCATGTCAATGGAGAATTGTTTCTTGCCAATTTTGCCCAGAAAAGTATCCAAAAGCTGAAGAAGATGTGAGCAGACTTGAATAAGCCGTCTTAATGTGTGGTTTGACAGAAACCTGAACGCTGTTTTACTAACTTTGAACTAATACCCATCACATTTCTTGTGCAATATCAGTATCACTACTCCTCCTTGTCTTCAACCTCTTCCCTCCAGAGGCATTTTCCATGCAAGTGTCTCCATGCTGTTTTTACTGGCACTCTATATTCCAGGGGATTTAGGTGTTTGCACAGTTTGCAGTTACTGCTGTATTTTCTTCTTATAATATCAATACATCATCAAATAGACTACTGACAAAAATAACAAAAAATATTACTTAGGGGATTATTAGTTGATCCAACACCAAATTCTCCAAACTAGCATGATAAGAGTTGTATGGTAGACATTAAGGAGAATCAGTTAGGAGTGAAGGGGTCAATCAAACAGTACCCTCATTTCCTTGGGGTATGAATAGGTATTTGCAAACTTGTAGGGAAGTTTGTTGAAATACTAACAGTGGGATTATTCCATTATGTACTAACTCCTATGCAACAAATGCATGCTACTGTAAGATTAAAATGATGTTTCAGCTGTTAATTTTACTTTGTAGATTCACAATGAAACCTGTCCTATGTTCCCTCTGAACTGTTCCAATGGTTGTGAACAAGTTGTCCCAAGGGAGCAGGTAAGAGAGATGTTTAACTCAGAGTGAAGCCTTACAATAATTTCCACAGAATTTTTACAGGTCTCTAATGGTGCAGGAAAAATTACAAGTAAGATAGCTCTTCATCCTAAGGGTAAACTGCATTGTACCTGCTACAGCAATCCTCTTACTCTGGGGAAGAAACTGAACTCTGGGATGAGCCACTCTGTTTTCCTTTTTGGTATGAAACTGTTTTGGATCAATATCAGTATCTGGGCAACTGCCCACCTACCCCTCCCCTAACTCAACAACAGTTAATTGACAACGAGTTAAGGTTAATGTTGGGTTAGGGAAGGGGTAGGTGGGCAGTTGCCCAGATACTGATATTGATCCACTGTTTTGGGTACAAACTCTACTGGCCCTTTCTTTTATTTTCTTAGCTTTCTGTCTGTCCTGATAAGAAAAGTGTTTATTTATGAGAGAACTCCCTGGGGATTAATTTTCCTCAATCCTTAGATACTTGCTGCCATATATCAATCAGAATACACCTCAATGGTAGGGTAGATTGTGAAGAGACCCACCGTATATCAATCGGAATACCTCCCAAGGGTGGGGTAGATCGTGAAGAGACCCACCGTATATCAGAATACCCCTCAAGGGTGGGGTAGATCGTAAAGAGACCCAAAAGAACATCAATTGGAAACTACATACTTAGATGTATGTCAGTAGAATTGAAATCTGTGTAAATTTTTCTCTCTGTTTACATAACTATCAGCCAATGTTACAAAACTGTCAACAAACTAATACCTGCCACTTTCCTTTGTTGTTTTTTTTTCGGTTTTGAATATTCACCAAAATATCTACATCATAGTCCTAGGGTAAGAGGAATTTTTACACACAAAACAACTTTTTTTGTTTCGTAGATGTTAAAGCATTTGGAAACAGAGTGCCGCCTTACGCCAGTGTCTTGTCCTTTTCATGACTTGGGGTGCAACATGAAAGTAAGTATTACTAATAGCACCTCTTCGGGTGTAATTTGATATAAACCACCACTGGAAATTTTTCTAATATCACCCGAGCAATTTTACCACAAATGATCGTCCTCCTCAGACTCATTGAGTATTGTCGAAAATAGCGTCGACTTCCTCTTGAGGACTTTAAATATATTCACCGGACCTTCGGTGATTAATAGTTTAAAAAAGGGATGTAGGTCACAGCACGCTGGCGAGTACAAAGTAGCTTGTTCGGTAGAGCTTTCTACCGCTAAATTTGAAGAAGCTGAGATTCGAAGCTTCACCGAGTGGAAGACAGATTTGAATTTGTCCCATACTCGTAGCAAATGTGAGACATGTTTCCTAATGGCCGCGTTATATTTACAGGTGGAAAGAAGAAACTTGGAAACACACGTTCGTGAAGATACGACTACTCATTTGAGCTTCGCTTGCAAGAAACTCGCCCTACTGCAGCAAGAATTTGACGAGGAGAAAAAAACCCTTAAGAAACAACTGGACGACCTGAAAAAGGAAAACAACAATCTCTTGCTCAAAGTTTCAGCACAGGAGAAAGAAATGCATAAGAGCCAGATGGAAACTCCGATGTTTGTATGGAAGATAACTGGTTTCGGTGATATATTACACCAGGCCAAAGTTGGCCGGAACAATAAAATAGACAGCGATCCCTTTTACACTGGAAAGTATGGCTACAAGTTAAAACTTTCCGTCAATCCCAACGGCGACGGATCAGGCAGGAATACTCACCTCTCTGCGTTCGTAATCGTCATGAGAGGTGAACACGACGCAATATTGCCTTGGCCATTTAATCAGAAGGTCACATTTACGCTTATAGATCAGCAAGAGAGCCTAGACGAGCGTCAGAACGTTACTATGCTCTTCAGAGCCAATACGAAACTAGAGAACTTTGCCAGACCCACTGCAGAAGAAAACCCTGGTCGTGGGTACGCGAGATTCATGTCTCACGAGAAATTGAAAACGAGGCGGTATTTGGTGGACGACACGTTGTTTATCCAAGTTGATGTGGGACCGCCTTCTCTGTGACCCTGAAGATCCAAAAATGTTTGTTCGTTAAGAGCAGACGAGTTAAGTCTGTAAAAGACCCACTGTTCCAAATAAAACAGACATACCTCCTCAAAGCTTTTCAAGCTCGAAAAGGGTGGAACAATTCAGTTGAAATTATTCTTTTTCGCTCTTTTGAAATGATCTTTATTTGCCAATTAGGCTTTATTTTTACAGTTCAAAGCACTGGCCTATAGTATTGAACTTAGTAATCAAAGAAAGTTCTTAGAGAAGAATCATGTTTCCTTTTGTGGGGTCTACCTCTGTGATATTGTGAGATATAGTCTCTTATGCATCTTTGAGAGCATGGCGTCTATTAAAAACATCTTGTGACTGCAGTTCCTAATTAGAGCGCAATTTGTGTGATCAAAAGAGGCAAATATAAAGGAAATGTTGTAAATGATTTAAGGTTTATTATAATGGACAAAATTGCAATAAATAATGAAATAGTTTCTGCCGGATCAGCCCTTTTTAACTCGTAAATTGCGCGCATGCGCAAGAGCGAGTTGTAAATACGATGTGGGGAATGGCACTCGCTCGCTCGGTTGGTCGATTCCTGTAAACTCTTTTTCGATTTTAGGCTTTTGAGTGCATTTGATAGTTTTTGGCGAGCAATAAACAAACGAAATGGCGACCTTTGTTGCTAAGAATAGTGGTGGGGTGACAAAGAAGCCAATGATAATCTTGAAGAATTTTTTTTTTTCGTTTTAGTTTCAACAAGCGGCGCCAGCGACTGGCCGGCATGCAAGGATTCACAGTAAAATAACAGAACAACCTTCGCTTTTCATAAAATTGTTATTTACCATCCTTGAACTTGAAAACAATCCGAAGATTCATTGAAAATATCACTTACTGCGAAGCGCTCGGAGTTTACAGATGTTCAAAAGCTTTATCTGTTACGGCGTGAGATTGAGGACAAAATCGATCATTACGTTTCGTATCGTGTGTTTTTCCTGTGTGAAACAACAGAAGATGCCGGCGACTAACGAAATTACAAGTTAACACGAAAATCAAATAACACCTAAACAAACAATTTTAGCGACCGATTTTCAGTGAATTTTTAAAGAACAATTTTCTTCTAAGTTTCAAGACAATTTGAAGATTCAAAATACATATTACGTACTAAAATGCGAAAGTTATACACCACAAAATTAATAAATAGGCCTGAAATGAAATTCTATCTTGTTATTGATTATACGTTGCCTAGCACGTGACTAAAATCTACCCAGGCGGAGATCCAAAATGACGGTGGCAGACCTGGCTTAGTTATATCACTCAAAACTCGTTCCCGTTTGTCTCATTTGATAAAGAG